TGAAATGGCGATCATTGCCGTATCGCTGGACAGCAGCCTGTTACGATAACTCACCGCCTATCGTCCACTTCGACACAACACGTGATGGCCGATTTTCATATCGTGAGTTTTTTCGTCTTTTTTTAACAATTTTTTTAGCATTTTCTGGTCGTAAGTACATTGGTTAGGCACTTCTGTCAGTGGGCTATGGCCACTGTTATGAGGGATTCTAGACGCTGATGAAAATTCTATGGTCCATAATAGTTGATCCATTACTCTCGGGAACTTTGATCTTTGAAGGCGTGACCTAGTAAGTTCAAAAATGAACTTTTACAAATATAATAAAAAATCATCGAAAAAATTGCTTTTCAGTAGATTTACAGGGATAGATCAATTGATTCGTTCGATTTGTTGTAATATTACGTAGAAATGGTACGGACGAATGATGGGACAATTTTAGAAATTTGGTAATAATTCTTAATGTTTAACTGTATTTCACTCTTCCTTCCTCCTTTAATCCTGGGAAATTTGATCTTTTTCTGTAGTCGAGGTTTACTTTGCCGGAGACAGTAACATACAGCAGTTACATCTACAGTTAACCACTTGCGCTGCCTGTAAGGTAGTAATTCCTGGCGTCCACCAGTCCTTACTATCTCACCCGTTGGTTAATCGATACAAGTCAGGTAAACTGTTCGGTTCTGTTACGGTACGGCAAGTACGGTAACAGCATTCTGTACTACTCTGCTGCATTTATACCAAGGCTCTACGTTGAAAACCCCCATTATTGTAGCTAGAGAGATGGGGCATGGCACACCCAGTAGATGATCAACGTTGAGCACTTGATGATAGCCATCTCCTTATGTTTATTCTTAGAAACTCTTGATTATACACATTCAATCATTCTACTGTGGAATTTAGACACTCATTTACTTGTACCCATATATCGTACTTTATAATATCACCAATTATCGTCTCGGCGACTCTTTTTTTTTACTGGACTTAACGTCATGGCATCTATTCATAGAAAAGCGTAGAATTTGATTAAAAAAGCAGAAGACCTTTTACAGGATTTTTCTTCGCTTGCAGGACGCAATTTTTACTTGACTAGGTTTTCTACTCAACAAACATCGTGAAAACCTAAAAACTTGCGTCTTCATCATTTTCTCCCTACCGTAACCCTCGAAGAAAATGGAGGAAGATGATGAATCACATTAGGATTAGCTGAATTATGGGTGATGATAAAATTTGATATATGGAGTCCCTTAGTGATTTGGTCATTTCAATGGTTCATTAGTATCCGCATGCGTTCCTTACCATATGGAGGAACCTCCCTTTTCTTCGCGATTGTTTACTGATTGGGTCAAACCTGCACAAACCAAAAATAGCCTTTTCTACAGAACGAGCTAACCAGCTAAAGTAAGTGAGAATGCACATTGAAGCGCTTTTTTTCCAACAAAATTTATTTGGTAGTCATCTGAACTTCAAGGCAGTGGCGATTTTTTAGTTGGGTCCAATAAATTAGTGCTCAGGTGAGGTTTCTAACTTCCCAGAGTCTCATCCCGGCGCTACCACACCACACAAACCCTTCTAATGATGAGTGGGATTCCCGATTGCTGTTGTGAGCGGGTAAAATGAGTGGCATTTAATTTCATCCTACAACTTTCTACTAGCCTAGGTAACTCACAGTTACTTGCTAGGGTCAGCATATAAACAATTTTCTGGTCTGGTAGTAAAGTTTCCGGCTATCCCTGAGAGTTGCCATAGTAGTCAAATGGAGTCCATCGTGCTCTCTGAACACAAACTACATCGGATCTGTCACTCGCAGCTATCCTGAAAACGTTTGGTCATCGTGTTCCCTGACGTCCTAAGGGATGTACTTGGTGACGGCTGTCATTCAAATAGGCATTATATTGACTCGGAGTAAAAGTTGTTCCAATTCTGGTTATCGGAACATTCTAGTATGTTTCCTGATTCGGAGAGACTCTTCTGTAGTAATTTGAAAAGTATATGTGCACTTTCATTCGAATAACTGGTGTCGTCCTCTTGGTTACCATATTCCTTCCTTGGTGCTGTATTGGGACCAGCACAGTTTTACAATTAATTTTGATATGACGCACGTACCTATAGTATGAAATTAAAATTGATTTGTCGGTACTTTTAGATGAGAAATTCGTGTTAGAACGGAAATCGGCAGTGTTTAAATCGTGGATTTTCGGGTACGACGCTGTGACCTAGGGGGTAGACGCTAGAACTCCAGTAGATGATTTACTCGCTGCACATTTTACCTTTCTTGGTTCGCATGGCTGGCCTAGCCAGTACTTTCTATCTATGGCATCTTCTGTAGAAGCCGAGGTAACTGCAAAAGATACCGTAGATACCCGAGAGAGATCGATCAGCATAGCATCCGTAGGAGGTGGGATAAATACTTACTACTTGGGCTCGCGACAGGGACGAGTGGAGTCGTGACTGGCATCAGTGCGAGGAAATCGATGATCAACGGGACAACAGTTGACGGGTGACAGGTGACAGGGAAAAGGCGACAACCTACGCTAACAGCAGATTCTGGGACTGAGCAGGATTAACAGTGGGAAGAAGGTGGAGGAGAAAGTTTATTCAGATTGAAAACGACTAATAACTCTAGGATTTCGAGCTCTATCACTTTTGGGGGAGGATTCGAGAAAACTTGTTCATACTATACTTATTACGGCTTTCACGCCTAGTTTGCAAAAGGCAGGATTTTCGAAGACATTGGCGGTGGTCTTCGGTCCCTTCGGTCAAGTCTGAAGTCCCTTGAGATTTTCATTCGACGCTTCATACCAATACTATTCCGATTTGAGGATAGGCCTATGGGGGCATAGGTGTCAAAGTGTAAGAAGGAGCTGCAGGAATTCTCAAATGGTCCTCTATTGAAATGTCG